AATCGAAAAAAATATGCTACTATTCTAAGAATGAATATCCGGACGTACGCATGTATGCATATAAAATTTTACCGGGTGTCAATGACTTTAACGACGTGAATGACATTTACCTACCACTCCTAATAAACACTTTTTTGTTACGTACAAATTAATTTTAACTTCTCAGAAACATGAAAAACCTCATCTAATGTACATATGAAAGGTTTTAAAAAGAGAAACAAATGTTTTTTTTTTTTATATATATATATATATAATTATTAAATACTGATATAGACCAGGCCAAAATTGAAAAGCCTGCAGGCAATATAAATATAGCAAATAAATATCCAGCGACATGGTAAACTGTTTCACCTTCCATTTTAATAAAACGCTTCTTAGCAAGTAACGACACATTTTACATACATGCTGGCCTAATTCAAGCATAAGCAAATTTATCAAAGCATCAGTTCGTAGTAAAAATTGAGGAATTTTCTGGATTATTTATTAACTTGTTTCCACACGTAGTTTATCTCTTTGCCATTCTAATGAACGTAAATTTTATATAATCATATTCAGTAATCGTAGGATATAGGTGAACAGAACTAAATATGAAAGTCGTCTTTAAATTGTAAGAATATTTTCTCAAAATTAATCATCAACTAGAATGAGATGTTAGTAGTTTGTATCCCAATTTATAATACCTTGTGTGTGTGTGTGTGTGTACTTCACCAAACTCAAAAACATTTTTCTTAAATTTTAAAGCAAGATTGTGCGATTTAGATCGGCTATCTTCTTCTATTTCTTTGCTAAAAACATTATTCCATCACTGCAGAGCTTCTCGGATTTCTGAGTGAACAATCGAAGCGACGGACATCGCAGGCCCATTTTCAGGCCCATTTTAAGGCGTGCGATGTCCGGTAGGTGGATGCATAAAAACTTCCTCTCTATTTTTCTGAATCATTCAAGAGATATGTGTTTTAGTATTCCCGACATGGAAGACACCACCTTTCCTATTATTCAATTATCAATATTTTACCTCACTTGGTGACTTCAACAATTAACTTTCACCTTTTCAGTTCTTAAGGACAACAGATACATTCAATTGTGTACGATTCACTTTCAGTTGCACCAGACGTAAAGCATTATCTTAAGTGACCACAATTTCGGTTGTACCATCCTTCGCCCATCTACATACTTTTGGAGCACAAACTATCTCGTACATGGTTGTTGTACACGATCGGACTTCGTTGCTCATAATCAATGCCTTTAAAAAAGATCATAATATAGCTTCGTTAGCTGAGCATTACCAGACTTAAGGGATTTTAAGACTGCTTATTGGCAAATATATTTCTTCCCTTTTCTTTAATAAGTATTAGTAAAAATTACGCAGTTTCGTTTCCTATCAAAGCCACGCACACTACGGTAACTCTGATTGAATAGGATTTAATAAATAGAAGTTCCGATTTTTCAAATAGTAGTTACTAGTAGACTTTACAAAATATTTCATAGACTTTCATGGTCTCAATCATGGTCCAAACTTTTAGTCATAAGTGCATCTTGAAATGTTGACAGGTGGAAAAATCTAAAAAGCCAACCAGTCACTTAAACAAGTGATCACAATCTCTTAAAGTGTATGCAGTACGTGTGATGGATGGTACGATTGCATAAAATCGCCATTGTGTTTAGCTTGAAATAGGATTTATTACTACCTATATATACAAATTGAAAGTGAGAGCGTTTTTTCAATAAAAATGCAGCTTTAGGTAGTAACACAGTAAATCTCAATGTCATTGTTAACTAAACCGAATTACTGCACGAACGACTTTAACCTCACTTTGTGCCTTAATATTTGTTGGAGGTTATACAAATAGTTTACATAAAAATAAACTAAAGTGCACCTTTAGTAGGGGAATATCCAATATGGACTTTAATTTGAAATAAAAAAAAAAAAAATTTCCTTTAAAGTAAATTCAGACAAACTCTTTTTTTTTAAAACTTGTTCAAATTATTTAAAAAATATTTGAAATTTTAACGAGCAATGTAGCACAAGAACTACTTCTATAGAGAAAACGTAAAAGGGGTAATTGATATTGTGAAAGTTCAAATCTTACTTATGGTACAATAGCTACTGTTACAAATAGGAGAAGCATGTTTCTTTTATGCAACCTCTAAACACAGATAACAGAATGTTGCCTTTCTAACGTACTTTAAATGGTAACTGAAGTAAAATCAAGGTCATGTGTTGTATTAAAGTTCAAGGGAAAATCTCTCACAGATTTAATTATAATACAAATCCTTTCCTTTTAGATACCTTAAGAATTACTCTTTAGTTTTAAAAGTACAAATATGTATTTCTACCCAAAAATATATATTTTCGCTCATGGATTTATCTTATCACAAGAGTAGATGCGTCTTAAAGCTCGAAAATAATAACTTTTTTTTACACCCATCACCCAAGGGTGTGGGGTAAGTTCCTTTTGCCAGAACATGTTCAACGCCCAGAAGGAAGCGTCAAAGAAGTTGCAAAGTATCCATATATAGTCTTGGTCAGCAACAAATTTTGAATCGGTTTTAGCAGATTCGTGTGGCCGTACGTGTAATGTCTGTTGTATACATTCACCGTAAGCCAATCCCTTGATTTTTTTATTATCATCTTTGAAATAACGCCACCTTTTGGAGAGAGTATTGCGATGGCGATATTTTCCGTCATAGGCAAAATTCAGCTTGTTTATCATCTCCGTTAGATTATCAGTTTGTTTAACGCAAGACTGAATATTAATGGGAATTTTTTCGAATACGTTTTTCCATTTAATTCAGACGTTTACTTGCAAGCTCCTATACAAGAACACAAATAAGGTAAAAATAGTTGTTCAGGAAAAGTGTTACTTGATTTAAATAAGCTCCGCTTTGGATGCTTCTCGCGCAATTTTTATTCATTCTAATTACGGAACATTTGCGCGCAAGCCCTACTATGGTATATGTTATGTTTCAATTTCCGACTAGCTACCGACTTCAAATTTGAGAGAAACATTGAAAGTCCTTGCACGCAATCCGATAGGGAAAATCGGCCATGTCGATCGAAAGACATATCTACAGTGCCACATAAACTAAGCTCTGCTTTTCAAAAGTAATAGAAAATTGAATTTTTTGATTATTACTCACAAATGACAAGAGATAAATCTACAAAAATGTAACCATATATGGGCGATGCTGTAGCAGCTGTAGAAAAATAGAAAAAATTGAAAACGCCGATCGAATGTTATAGTGTATCATAATTTAATTTTTTTCCAATAGCAAAAATCCCACAAAATATACAAGTTTTTAGCCCATTTCAAATTCGGAATGCATCGAAGCATGTGCGTCTAGTCATCTGTCCAGCTGCTTGCGTATTATCTGTGGTAAACATTCTACTCTTTGCAGAAATTAAGACACCGCCTAAAAACTTTCAAAAGAATTTGAAAATGACTCAAATTTTTCAAAGAACACGCCTACAATCGCCATACATTTATATAATAAAAACAGACAACACATACACGATATAAGTTTCCACAAAATTATTCTACAAAAACAGGTTAACGATGATGGGTATAAGAAATTCGATCACAAGAAGAAGGAAGGGGGAAGATCCTTAACTTACACTTCCCCAAGTATGAAAGGGAAATAGATGTACGTCGTTTTGCTAATGTGGGTATGCATGAAGGCATTCTGCAAAATTACGCAAAAATTCATTTGCGCGCGTACATTTTAATTTTCAAAATGGATTTTTCTCTGACCGACCAGCTATTATTAGTTCAAAGCTTTAAAGTCAACAGCTGATGATAAATCCAACAGCCCGATAACAAAAATATTATGTAATTTTTCAATCATTTTATCAGTAACGATTGAAAGTTGCTCGCCCAGACCCACCCCCTGTTTAACCCTTGTTCCGTCCTCATACTTAAACCTTTATTAATCATTTTAAAGACGGGTAGTTTCAATCTCTTGACCATTGTGCGCGTATCCAAGTGCGTATTAAACGTACACTCGAGCCGTATCTGTACAAATAACTATTAGTTTATGTCTCGAGTTTCCGTTGCCTTTTCTGATGTAGAACAATGACTAAGTTTAAGTTTCGCTCCGATCTTAGGCTTTCTTTTTCCCACGAAATTATATATGGCAACAATAATATCATTTATCCTTTGTCATGAGTCTCAAAAATATAAAAAGCAATAAATACTTTGTTATCCCATTTCGACGTTTTAAGGCTAGGATTGAATATTTTAAAATTGGAGACATGGAACAAACACACTACCAATTCCCACGCTAATAACTATTAGCCTTATATGTGTTGCATTGATAAACGAGAACACCAATTACCTATCGACGAATGCTTAATATGCACATATGGTCGACATTTCTCTAAATTCAAATATCAAGAATTTTCTTAAGCGTTCATCTTATATAACATTAATATAAAATCCACTTTAATGTTACAAGAGTTAAAACTTTATATAATTTATTCGTGCGTACGTGCTTGCGTGTATTTTTGCATATATATGCGCATATATATGCATGATACATATAACTGTACACCTATATACATATATCTATGTTATCGGGATTCCAAAATGTATAAATAAACATTTGCGATAAGTATAGGCAAACACGAGACTGCAAACGCAAGCGCACATATGTAAACAAAGAGAGAGAGAGAGAGAGAAAGGGAAACGGATTTGAGCAATACCTGGCCACTTTAACCATTAAAGGTTTAAGACTTCGATGTTGTATTATCTTCTATCTTCGAGCAAACATGTAAATTGGAGGCTGGGCGAACCTGTTTATGTGTATGGAAGTTTCCTATTTCAATACCCACACTTATGAAGATACTGCAAGAAATTGTGTGTAGACATTTGCTTTTCTATGTTACTTACAATAATTTTGGATATGAATTTCACTCGCAATCTTATTATAAAATTTGTTTTTATATTTCTTTATATAATTAATTTAATTATTTCTTATTGTCTTTGGTCTGTTTCCTATAGCTCTGTGACAGTTCCGACAGCTCCGGTTATAACTACTATTGTAAACCCCACAGTCTCTTTGGATAGTGACAGTAAAAAAGCCTCAGTATGGCTGCGTCAAGATTATACTTGTTTAGATTCCAGTGAAGCTCAGTCGGATGACAGTCACTTAACGCGTGATTCAATCACAAGAGAATCACAAAACGACGAGCTTTCTTCGTCGACTTTGGATAAAATTGATATAACTACCTTACCGCTGCCAGCGTTGCCACCTAAAAAGAGACGAACGAAACTACGTGTTAGCCCTTTGAAGCATTGTCATAATCATAGATATGATAGCGCTACAGACAATGTTGCCACAGCTGACGGACTAAATGATTTGAATTCTCGCCAAACTCAAGTAAATCCAACTTGCAATCGCAATTTGTCGGCATTTAAACAATACGCATCGAAACGTAGAGAAAGCTTAGAGGCATCTACGCGCAGTTTCAACGAGAAACTGGAAGCGCGCAGAATGCATTATCATATGGGAGCAGGAGGCAGTGGAGCCGCAAGTTCTACAACTTCAGGAGCGAGCGGTCTTTCTATGCCCACTTATTTATTTGGTGAACATTATTATGGTAGTGGTTTTCCCTCGGCCGTAAGATCTCGCAAATGTGCCGGTCCTTCTTCCAAAGAAGAAATTTATTTGAATAAGTCTGGCTGGGTTCAGGTGAACACCAAGCGGGTTAATGATGAAAATCGCAGTTATCGTCACGGTACCTATGCCCACCAAAATGGTGATTTGCGGAATACCATACGTGTCGTACAAATTGACAATACCCGCAGATCCGACGCTTTCGCCAGACAGACACGTTTGCAACATCAACATTCAATGGCAGAAATGCCCAAGTTTATGGTTAGTAAAGTGGAAGAATTGATACAAAGGAATGAAGCACGCTTAGGTAATTGCAATATCCGTGATTCGACTTTAAGGCCTGGCTATCGAATTGTTGATCCACAACTAGCCAGTATACTAAATGATAGGCCTGGCTTTTTACCAGTAAAAAATCATGATAATGACTCCCCGCCTCCCATAACTCCCATATTATCACCGCCACCTGCCTTTCAAGACACGAAAAGTAAACATTTGGACAGAAGACGTCCTGTTTCCAGTCGTTCCCCAGTCATCGTAACGCCACATTATCTTACCACCTCAAACAGTTTACAAGCACAATCGGTAAATGGCGGTGTCGCGGGCAAGGGAATGGTTTTCTCACGCAGTTTCGAATACGATACCCGACGTCCACCGCCTACCGATGCCTATGTTAACACATTTTCACGTAGCTTCGATGGAAACCTTACAGAACGACTACCACCACCTTTGCCACGACGTGACCGTTCTCCAAATTTTAGTACGCTTACCGGCAATTCACCCAATTATCTAACAAAAAAAGATTCCGGCGGAGGTAGCAGTGGTAGCTTGCGCAGCCGTGATTCATCGCCCAAATACCAATCGCCCGCTGCTTCTGTCTCATCATCAATGCAATCACCACAAACTCAGAAAACCACTTCCTATCTCAATACATCAGTTAAAGAGGCACCACCTTCGTATAGTGTAGCTGGTCACGTAGCTGGCAATTCAACACACAAATATTCACCACGTTCATCGTATCATGAACGAACGTTTGAGCGCTCCAAAAGTCAAAATGTACCTTTGGGCCGCTCACGTAAATCGCAATTCAGTCGAACAAGTAGCGGAGGTCCGGGCGTAAATCAGGTCAATAATATAACAATGTCCAGATTTCGCAGCTTTGATACGACAATTAGCCAACGGTTGAATTCATGCGACAGTGGAGCCCGATCTGGTAAGTCGATACAACGGAATTAATTAACATTTCTATTTGAAAAGAATTTATTTTGTCTGCTTAGAACAATTGTATCATTGAACTCATTTTAACGTATCTACTTTTAAATTGACGTACGATCTTACTTATTGGGACTGGTTAATGCACAAATTCAAATTCAACGTAAATACAAAACTACCCAATAAGCAAAACGAAGAAGAAAGAGAGAGAAAGAAGAAAAAGTCTCTAGTTATTCTACCATGTACACGTAATGAAAATTAAATCGTTTCTAATGCACTTTTGCAATATAACAATTTGTCAATGCAGGCATCCATATACAGATGTACATAGAACAAAGTCTTGCGTACAAGGAAGAAAAGCCGACGAAATGCTTAAAATTTTATATTTTTTCAAAAAGGTGCACTCAAAGCAAACTGCTAACCATGAGAAGCTTAAATAATACAAAGATGCATAGCCATATACTCAGAGCAATAACACTGAACGAACCTAAACGTTTACGTTTATCATTTACTGCCATGCTTGATTGCACAAATCTAACGACAATGAGTTGCTGTACATTCATTTCCACATGTTCAAGACTACAGCACAATAAGAACTTTCCAAGCAATCAACACTTCCATTAACTAAACGCACATGCACCTAAAAAAAAATAGATGCGTTAAACTATGGAACGATTTTCCTTATAAATAAAAAAAAAAAAAACGAGTAAATAAATTTGAGTCAAATCATCCGATTTTGGAACGAATTAAAATATAATTTTAATTCAATAAATTCCTTCATTCAATTATTACGTTCAGCGGCACCGGAGGCTTTTTGAATTTCACTATTGGAGAAGAACATTACTTTGAATGCGCTCCTCTCTAATATTGTACATATGGGAATTCATGAAATGCCCGAGTTATTAAAACGCGCACATAAATGCGTAGATTCAAACGACTGTAAAAGTTGATAGGAAATCGTTCAACAACATTTTATTAACTAGTCAATGTCTATTCCTTCAATTTCAAAACAAAATTGCAAAACTTTCAACGCACAATGAACATTTTTGAAAATTAATGAAATGACGATGGTTATCATTTTTTCTTTACTTGCCTCAGTTACTAAAACCACCGAAATCCACATCAAATTCTATTGTAAAATTTCACCCACAAGTTCAATCTACACGACGATGCTTTCAAATGAAACGTAATGCCAGATAACTACGCGGGAAACAAAAGAAAATTTCTGACAGATTGTTGAAATGATGATAATAGTAATGTTTTGGTTAATTGCTTTACCTAGTAAAACCATCAAAATCGATTTTGCATTTATCGAAAAATTTTTTCCTGCAACCATCCGTAGATTTGTTTAATGCAATGATTGTAATGGCGACGGCCAAGTTTATAAATTGTTGCACTTTAAGAAAAATATTAAGTTAATGCCCACATTTTTGACAAAATATTTATTAATGTCGATAACCTATAAGAAATTTACAAGGATAATCCCAAAAGTATTTGCCCCTACATAGAAAACACAACAAGCTTCGGAAAAACTACCTATTTCTCAGCACAGTCTCTATTTTAACTCGATATACTTTTCTTTTGCGATATTCGAAAGCTTTGATGCCGTATCAACAGCGAAAATTCTTACGCCGTGCGATCAATTGCAAACTCCTCCGCTTTATTATTTCATTCAAGCATGTGAAAAGATAAATTAATTCGAAGAAGATGATCGTGATAAATAGAATAAAATGATAGAATAAAAGCTAACCCAGTAACTTGTCCAGCAGATCAAAATATTTTCGTCTTCTTTACATTCCACTCTCTTTCTTCAAACATGAAGCAATGTCTTTGGTTTCATTGGTATAAAATGTCACCGAAAAGTCTGTTAAAATATATTCAGGACGTCGGTTTTATACAGTTGTGAGGAAACAAGTTGTCCATCTTATGTACTGATCTGATCTGATCGAATTCAAATTTGCAGCCAACCTGCAATGTGCAGAATTTTTTGAAACACGCACCATATCTATCATTGGTCGCATTTTCAGTCCACGGCAATCCAATGTAATTACTTAACTTAAAAAAGTTTCTTTATAATTTCTTGTGCAGTCATTGCATTTAGTCGACCATAGTGTTGTTTACTGTTATAAGCGGAAGATCAGGCTTTCGCCAAAGTAGAATTTAGCTCAACTTTGATATTTCAAATAAAAATTGTACGACATGTAACGATGAACATTTTTTTTGCATGTTTGCAAATTTACTGAAAACGTTCACTATTGACTGATGCCTATCAGGCAAATGTTAAAGAACATAACATCAACCATAGCGGCTTTTTTTTAAACAGTAGCCATTTGTAGATCAGGTCAGGTACTCTCGAAACTATATAGATTGAATGCCAAGCGCGCGAAACGAAAAAAGATTTGAACTATGCGATCGTTTTCCCAAACACCTGCATTTACCGTGTTCGATTTGTGTATAGTAGCTTGACCATATAGGCTTGTATCAAACTGAAAACTTTGTTTAAAAATGGATATTTTCAAAAAATTTCGTATTTATATTCAGTTTTCCCATTAAAGAGTTGATGCTAAATCAATTTTTGGTGAGAAGTTGTGCTGAACAGAATAATTTATTGCATAGACTTTTCTGACGTCTAATGACGAAACATTCAATACGTTTAATTCGACGACGAGCGATGACACACCTCTTGAATAAAAAGCATTTACTCTCCAATTAGGAAAACCTAACTGAAGTGTCAGACTGAAATCAAGAAGATGCTCGCACACCGATAAACGATTGATGAGCAATGCTTACAGTACACATAGCGCCGTTAATATAATTTGTTGGACATTCTATAGTCAGAGGTTTGATTCGATCGATATCATAATAATAACGATTAAACACGCAAAACGAATAGCATTAGAGATTAAGTGCATTAAATACACAAACCCACATTTTGTCTACTTGATTGGCATCAATTTCACTTTGATCCATTTGCGGTCCTTTTATACGTTTTACATATAATATCAGTGAGTAAAAAAACGAACGAACCAAAATCGTCGTAATATTATTACGAATTTATGCAAAGAATAACTATATTATATTAAATTATTACATAAAAATTATACAACAATATCGAAACCTATGTCAGTTTCGACTATAACGACAGAAATCGGTACATTTTAAACCGCAAAAAACTCAACATCACTATCTAATCTAAACGTTTGATGTTTATTATGCCCTGCACCACTTGTAATAAAAGGGTATATTAAGGTTGCGCAGGAGTACGCGACACCCAGAAAGACTTGAGATAGATCCAACTTTCACTGTACCGATCCATTCAGAATTACCTTTTAAATCGATTTAAGGTTGCCTATCCACCTGTTAGTCTTCTTTTCTTGTGTTCAACCTACGGATCTCATTTGTTGAGATATTTTGATAAAACTTGACCAGGACAAACATTATTGAAAATGTTTCGGATTGATCCACTTTTTCGACCAGTTCCCATATAACGCCACATTTTGAAAAGTCTTTGTATAAACACCGGCAAGGTGTTGTAAAGCCATTTAATGGTGGGCCATAGCCCACCGTAATCGTTTCCTTGATCTCATTAAAGTAAAAAAAATAAGGATATAAAAATGAAAAGCCCGATTGTTTTAAGTGTATTGATAAAAAAAATCAACGATAAGTCTAGAGATCAATTCTTTAATCAATCTTTTTTAATAGCCTGCTTTATTAACCAATAAGAAATGTGTTTTTTCCGGAGAATAATCGTTTAACATTTCTGAAAATGACGTGTTATTTTTTATGCAAAGAATAAAAATCGCGACATCACTGTAAATGCTCGAAGATAATTTAAATTGAACGGATTTAAGATATTGGTACCTGAGACCTAAGAATTACAATAAATGCCGACATGACTGTAGTAAAATAAAATCTTACCGTACGATTCGTAAAAAAGAAAACACCAAAAAAAAATTAGGAAATTATGCCCGTCAACATCGGTTTTCCAACTTGAGGTCTTTCTGTTTGCTGGTGCAGCGCTGATCAGATTTGTTAACCGCACTTTATATTTAGTAATGCTATCGCAAATTATCGCTCGAGCGGTACCAGATATAACAAATTTGTTAGTGTGAGGGCATAACTTGCCTGTTCTCTGGGGCTGGGGTAGCTCAGCGACCCAGGAATCATCACAAGAAATTTATTTTGTTTATTCGTTTAATATTCATCGTTTTATTTTCTCATAATTCACTTCACTTCAAAGTAACAGGAAAGGTAATAATCATAGTAATCCGGATTTTGTGAGCCAGCGACCGACTCGCTCTAAGGCCTAAGCTCGACTTCCACAAAACTAAAAACTAACTTTAACTTACTCATTAACCTATCTTAGCCTACTCTTATCCTATTCTTTGTCCTATTCTTGTCTCTCCAACTTATTCTCAATCTTATTCTATAACTTATGCTCTAACTTATCCTCTACCATAAGCTAGCACTCTCTCCCCACCAGAAACGGAGAAACTGTGAGGCCAAAACGAGGTCCGACTTTGGCTCCTCACAATATATATATTATACGAAGGTCAGGAAAATTAACCGGAAACCTTCACATTTATTACTAAATTTGATATTTTAAGATATAAGTGATTTTATTTTATAAGATATAAGGGATTTCAAGTGACTCGTTGATACGATACAAATGAAAGCTTAACGAATTGCATTAATGTTGAAATTTTTACTAAACCTTTTACTTTTCTTCTAATGAGCCTTTCACGCGCTTAATGGTTTAATTCTCCTGTCACCTGATTATATAATTATCAACATTCTAATTTTGCAGCAATTATTTATGCGAATGTGCGCAACAGTAATCCAGAATTAACTGAATGATACCACCGCCAACCATAACTGTGTGCATCAACTGTAAATAAACCTTAACTTTGCTATCTGTTCTGGCATAAATCGCTCATATTTTTTATTGTGAACTGTAATAATAAGAGCTACTCTTAAACAACAAAGATACTATCCGAGATAAGCAGACACACATAAGCACATGCACATCGAGAGAGACCAGCTTGCTTTCATAAACAAGCAACAAAAGCTTATATTTATAAAACTCTGTCAACGAAAAGTAAGACAAAAAAAGGAAGAGAAATCAAAGTTTAGCCATTTTCAACCGCACTAAAAATACAATGCATACTCAACTAATCGTACGAGAACACCGGTCTAATGAATGCAGCACTAAACTCTATTAGTAATAGTAATAATAATGATAACCGATGTCTCTCTTCTTCTCTTACTTAACGAAATCATTCCATGTTGTTCAGCGCACAAGATTGAAAACATCGATAAATCTGTAAGTTTACAAAAAGTTCCTCTTCCACTGGATATATACTTTGGCCGTTAAAGGGAACAATTATATAGAAATACAATGCTTGCAGTTCAAGTTTGGCTCGTGCACAACTTACTTAAGGGAAAAAAACGATAAAACAAGAAGAGTGCTACTAATAATTATTACGACATCGGTTATACTTTTTTTTTTTTTTTTGGTTGTAATGATTATTATGACATTATTTTTGTACCAATTATCTGCTGTATCGTTGCCTCTATGCTCGATGATTTATAGCTGAATCGAATCAGATGTTTTTCGTAGCTGTGTCAAATTTCGCTCACACGTATCGACAAAGATGGAAAATCCGAGTGTTAAATGAAAGCTGAAGCTTGTGCCTAACAGCTTACCGAGATCCATGGCCTGTACGAAACTGATAATGTTTTCTGCAGACAGAGAAGCAAATAATAAATATTTCAATGTATTTTGATTGTTTATTCCTGGAAAGACGGAAAGTACAGAAAGTATTTTGTAAAAGAAAAATTGAAAATTTTATTGTATAGGATATAATGTTCCCTCTGCGATCTGAAAATTGTTACTTACGGTTTTTGAGTAAATCTTTACTTCGGAGCTTAGCAATCAATTGTATCGACGCGTTTCGAAATATTTTGTAAATATTTTTCACTTAGAATTTCATGACGAATTTATGCGTAGCGTAGCATAAACTTGAAAAAATGCAATTTTTAAGGAACTAAAACTTCTTTAACGATAAACTTCTGATTTTTCTACTACTTCTCCTTCTTTTGCCTCTATTCCCCTTTGCAATTAATTACTAATAATTGGAATTGTGAGTCTATGAGAAAACAAGAAAAAAATCGCTGCTCACTTTAGAGGCAGCTTCAGTTTGCTTTTTAATTTTGATTTTTTCGTTTTCTGCTTCTATTTCTTTTACAGATCTTTCTAATGATGAGTTAGAAATTGAAAATGATGACGCCGGTTCAACGGAATTTTTAAATACTAACAATTACCTTCCTTCCTCTACTCTATCACCGTTTAAGCCGCAACGTCAACGTTCTTTGACACCGGATCGTAATGAGTCGCATAGTTCGTCAAGTAGCTTACGTAAACAACGATCTCTTACGCCGGAATCGAGATCTTTAACACCCGAAGACAGACGTAAGAAAGGTTCGCAAATCTCTTTAATAGGCTCACGCCAGAATTCCAGTTCACGTAGCAATACCCTAGAGCGTAAACATGATAAATTAAACGTCTCAAGAAGTTCTTCGAGCTCTAGTTATAGCGGTCGGGAAGGACATGAAGGTCACGGGTATGGTTCTGGTGTGGCGGTGAACGTAACAACGATAACTCAACACAGACGGTCGACTGCTCGAAACGCTAAACAATCGGATGAACATCGCATTCGGAGATCCAGGTAGAATTTGTCCTAATATTTTTTTACTTTTCTTTGAAATTACGTTCGCTTAAGTTTTTAGTTTTTAGATCACACTTCATCTAAGTTTCAAGTTTGTTGATGACTTTTATCAAAATTTTAGCCAATTTTGAAATCGACCTTATATAAAGTAAATTTTTTTGATTTTCCAATAGCTTTGAACGCAGCACTATGACTGCTTAATCCAGGCCCATTTCCATATTTATAGACTGGAACTCGAAAGTATCAAAAATTTATTTTAATTTCTACGGCTGCAAAAATTTCGACAGACTGACGAAAAGACAACCAAATATGAGGTAATCTATTTCCAACTTAGAAATACGTATATATTACAATGGAATGGATCAAACGTATGTCTGAAATTTCTGCTATAATTATCTCGCTTGCGATTTTGGGCAGGAGTTTGTAAGTAAACACTTGCGTCAAACCGAAAATGGAAAAAATGAATGCCCATGTTGCTGTGTGAAGACTAAACAAAGAATGGTATGATTTATTGGAGGAACACGATTATTACGAATCAACAACTCAGTTTCAGAGTAACAGTTTTGGGGTCAGTCGTCGCCAACTGTTGAGAATTATAAAATGGCATACAAAAAGATAACGCCTACAAGCGATTAATGCAATTTTAAATAAAAAAAGGTTTTTGCATAAAAAAAATTTCAGAAGGTAAAACCTTTTGATCCATGCACCCGCACTTGTCGTTTGGTCTGTATAATAAATAATCTTTCACAAATTTTAATATTCACCTAATGTGCAGCAAACCCTTTTGCTTAAGAAGCATGCGAATGCAAAAATAAATGAGAATAGCCGATGAAATCCTTAATATTTTTAGGGGGCCTCTACAAAATTTGATGCACACACACACGCACAACATTTTTGAAAAGGTTGATGAAAAATTTTTTTATACTTCTCTTTGTAGATCCCTCCAATTAACTGAACGTTCCCCAAATCGCGGCCATAAAATGATCGTTTGCGTAGGTGGACAAACACATACGACTTCAAATAGTGGGCCAACTTATCAACAGACGAATATTAGAGGAAAGCTAGCGAACAATTTTCCGCCCACTATAAGAGCTACTGGTAAATCGCAGTCAATATTATTGAATGCAACGAATGGCGGCAACACGCGACTGCGTCAGAACGATATCGATAAGAGTCGTTCATTTGATTTCGATTATTGTAATTATAACTCGCCCAATAATACTGTAAGGGGTCATCATAGCAACAGCTCGTTGCTTGGAAGTGCGGCCGGTTTATTGAATCGTGAAGCTAATTTGCGTTTAGATTTTGATAAATCGCATTCGTTTGACGATGATTATCATGATCCTTTGACAAGTAATAACAATTTGAACGCAGCAGCCATGCGCTATTTGCAAGCTATAGACGGTAATGGAACGGCAGGAGTCAGATTGCGACGCACGTCACCCGTAGAAGGTGGTAGGAACAATAGATCTCCGCAGTCATCGGGCTCATCGTGCAATAATCTCAGTGTACCCCGATCTAGTACAAGTCCACAAAACTACGGCACTCGCTTGTGTGATCATGAAATGACTTTCGATTTGCTACGCAAATCATTAGATCGTTCACCTATTATGGATTTCAGACGGAACGAGAATGCTGCCAGTGGTGATTATGATTTTCCTGCATTACAAGTTAGAAATAGGGAAACCATTAAGTCCGGCGGTAACAGCGAACTGAATTTTTTGAACGCCGACGGTCGTCTATACGAGCACTCATTGAAACAGCAACGATCGTTGCGTAGAACCCACAGTCCCAATGAAACTCTTTCATACACTCATGCTTCAAGGAATGATGTAACACCACCTGAAATCTCCGATTATAGGAGCGAGTACACACAGATATATAATCGCAATCGCGATGCGGTACAAAGAACCAACAATCGCGGCAGGTACTGAATTACTTAACTCCGATAAGAGATCAATTACACGCATTTACGCACATATGGTATGGTTTACTAAAAAGAAGTGTATGCGCTATTTTTGAATTTCAACTGAGTAGAAGTAATTTAACAAAACAAAAAAAAACAAAAAAGACGGGAGTAAGATGCTGTTAACAAAAGGTAAAGAAGAGAGAGATGCGTGAAAAAATTATAAAAAGTAAAAAATGGCACACCATGTGTCACACACTCTCTCTCTCTCTCTCTCTCTCTTCATAAACACCAATTAACCAACCAACTCAACTTAGTGTAAAAGTGTTGAAAAACAAAATAACAAATTATATGCTAAAACGATTTGTAGAGATTTTTCCAATTCTTCCTTCCCTTTTTTAAAACAAATTATAAGTAAACGCTTATTAATCGAAATTAATGAAAGAATAATAAGAATATTACTAACAACACAATAACAATAATAATAATAAATCTGAACTAACTCTCTTAACTACTAATCTTCAACATTTTGTGTAATTAAGAAGAAAAGACTGCTTAAAAAATGGAACTGAATACTTAAAGTTCAACACGCCTGAACTCTAAGGATCAATAGCAATGTACTAAAAATAATTTGAAGAAGTAAACATAAATACATAAAAATGTATATATGTATATGTAAATACATATATATATATATAATATAATAATAATATACATATATATATATATATATGTATATATATATATATGTATATATATATATATGCTATATATATATATGCTCATAGAAGAATTTACATTAAAGTAATTTGAACGATAATTAAAAAGAATTTATTCTCACTTAATAAAAGCAAAAAATTGTTCAAAGAAAAAGAACAAACACTAACAAAGTTAGATAACAAACACAGTTCGACTTTGTTAACAAAAAGTTAAAAACGTCATCCACACGACAATACTACCTCTTTCTTTCTCTTTCTTTTTTTTCTTTCCCTCTCTCTCTCTCTCTCTCTCTCTCTCTCTCTCTCTCTCTCTTACTGTCTCTCTCCTTCTCTTTCTCTCTCTGTCTTTCACGTATTTTCTCATTATATGCCACAAACACCCTCACTTTATACTCGTTGTTGCTTCCTCGTTTAAACGTTTGAATATTGGTCGTGATATTGAAATTCTTACGTTTACAGTCATTTAAGCTCAACCACTAATATAGAGCAGCCACACTTGAGTTGTCTGCCACAATGTTCATTTTGGCCACAATGCGGTGATTGTCAAGACTATCAAGAGGAACCAAATCAACAGTCGTATCAGTATTCTTTTGAAAATGGCGATTATTTCAAGTCATTGCCGATCAAAAGGCAAAATTCTTTACAATATCCACGTATTACTCGCGAAACTGAAAGTCGCAATTTTTCAATGAAAGAGCAAAACAGTTTGCCTAGCAGCAGTAGTTGTCATGTGTCAACTGTTAAAGTGAACGTTAATATCATGAAGTTAGAAACCGATGGATTTAGAAACAACAGTGGCAGCAGAAACAGTAGTTGCATCAACGCCAATGTTAACGGTTTCTCAATCAATGTTAATAACGAGGCAGAGACATCTTTTTCAGCACTTTCAATGCCAACAAACCGCTCCAAAGGCCCATTATGGCGCAGCAGCAGCTGTAATTCTTCTCAATGGACTTTATTGTGTAGTGGGATTGCAGCAATTACCACCAACACGGACATTAGTACTACCTCTATTACGACCACTACTAACACAAACACAACAACAACAATCACCACGTCTACTACTTTAACCTCATTAACTTATAAAACACAGTTAAATAACACAATGGTGAACGTCAAAATGCCGACCACATCAACGCCATCTCTGTCACTGTTCACTTCCTACTCATCAACTGTACCAACAACAAACACAATACCAACAATAACTTCATCGACTTCTTTGTTATCCACGGGCTTTTCAAAACCGTCGTCGTTATCATCGCCATCATCATCATCATCATCATCATCATCATCGTCATCGTCGTCGTCGTCGTTGTCGTTGTCGTTGTCGTCGTCAATACCAACGAATGCGTTAAATTGCTCAGCAGCCCGTGTTATACCTTTGACGGCCACATCCCTAGTACACTTAGGTAATTGTGAAATACCCGTTTGTTGCGATCACGATTGGGGGAAGTTCACAGTGACACAACTTGCCAGTGACGATTCAACAAAAAATACAAAAATTGTATCAGCATGTGACGGCTTCGAAAGGTTAGTATAAATTTAAAGATTCTGTTTGATTATATTAAAAATAAAAGCTTTCTTTCATTTTTTAAAATTTGTTCTTTTTCAATTGTCAATATAGTGCAAAGATTTACACATTTTGTCATTTCATTAATGAAATTTGGAAAATACCGAAAATTGAATTTCCAACTATCGTTAATTGATTAAACCACGCCCAATTTTCCGCTTCTGTATTTGAACCCACTTGCCAAACCTAAAATCAAACGTAAATCGTCCACACAAATAAGCCCGAAATAGTCAAACAATGGCAAGAAATTTAAGAAAAAGAGACGCTAATATGCTTCCATTAGTAGCTCAATACTGCTATCCGTAGTTGTTGCAAAACTCAAAACCGTTCGTAGTATTTCTGCTTATCACCCAAAAAAGGGAAATGATCGGGTTCGTCGGTCCACTGACAATTGACATAAAAAATATGTTCAGTTGATAAGAGTCCGTTATGTCCTCCAAAGCTCTTTTTACTCTTTACTTTATTTTATTTAATTTTTATATCTTGTTAATATACTTTTTTTTAGGAATTTCTCTGTCTGTTGTAGATTTAACTCGGATAATAAGAAATCAACTATTCCTGAAAGCAACAATAATAGCAGCTTCTATAAAGACTCAAAACCTTTAAAAAGTTTATCTCTACCGGATCTAAAATTAACACAAAGAAGGTAAGTAGATATAAGACGAATTTTATACCTAGTATTGATGATAAGCGTATAATGGATCAATTAATGCGATTTTAATCGAAAAATATGCCTCAAAAGATGCCAAAAAATATAAATAGTTTTCATCTTGATCGAGGTGGTGGGGTTATCTCCATTTGTTTATCTCTTATCCTCTTCTCTCTCCTCTATCTTAATTTTTCACAAATTAACTACGAAAAAATTACTATACACCAACAAGTATATAATCGATGCCTGAAATTCCTGAATAATTGATAAAAGAGTAGAAAAAAAATCAAGTACGCAATATTTTCACCTAACCAAACAGTACAAGTCGGCCTTTTGTTCATTACAAATATTTATCTAATATTTAGTGCCATGTAAGAAAAATAAAATATTTATCATATAACAAATATAAATATTATAGTGGGTCACGACCCAGCATTAATTATCCGACGCATTGTTTAATAGAGTTATTCATGTAAGGACTTTTTAAAATAAGGATTTATATGAAAAGTTATCGAATAAGTGGTCCGACCTGGACCATTTTCCATAGTGTTTACCTAAAACAGTTCAGTGTACCAGGTTTCGGGCAGACACGTTTGGATCGAAAATGGTATAATAAAATGTGAGTCTACCCCAAACCTCCTCCTGGGTTTTGCATACATCCGCACAAACTTAACATGTCTTTGTTTCACATTTGGTGTGGGGTGCGATAAAAGCTTTATCAATGAAACAGTCACTTAATGCGTTCGCGATTAGTTGAGAAATTTTGTAATTTTCACTTATTGTCCAAATTGGTTAATACCCAAGATACGTTCGAACATTTATAATATTTTCTTTACACCTGTTTTGTTACGAGTGGCTAAGAGTTTTGCAACGTGTATCGCAAGCCTCACAATTATAGCGTGATTAAAGCGGGACTAAAATAAGCTCAATTAATCAGCAATAAGCGCGCAATTAATTAAAAACTGATGTTTGTTTACTCTTTTCTAAATTAGGGCCTCGTACTTGCAAAACTTTTAGGCTCGAATTTCATCTTTTGTACTTTTACGGTACGTACGTTGCGAAATACGATATATATAGCGAAAAACGATCTATTCCGCGGCCACCTGGCAGAGTAGCTGATCTTCCCTGCTTAACATATCGAGGACGAATCGAAAGGCCCTCTCATTATCAGTTATACAACGTAATTCAACTGATCACCAACGAGATGACAGATAGAGCATGACGCAACTGGAGTACTTAAGTGTACAATTACTTTCGATTTTACACCAGGAGCACGCACGTCGAAGTCATCCAAGTTGCAGTTTTCATTATATTTCCTACGCAATCCCCAGATTGGATCATTATTGCCGTAATTTCTTCTGTAGTACTTTGTATCAAATATGGAAAAATATCGTAATAATTGTAGTAGAGCAGATATGTGTATTTTTGGTGGGAAAAACTCGCAGTCTGATAGGGCGTTAAGAATTTTTTTTATGCATTATTTTTAGCATTGTTCGTCTAGTTTCTCCAGTAAGTAAGTTTATTAGCGCTAAACGATTGCTATAGCGTAGAAGGCGAGTGTATTTTCGAACGGAAGGAAGAGTGTATTTTCGAACGTATTCAATTTGCTTGCAGTAAAGATCAGATTTTGGATCACACCAAGATCTGATGGTATGTAGAGCAATCTGGTAGTGTAAGCAATAGAAAATTTCCCTAACCAACGTTTGATCAAGCTCAAAGTGCCCTTTGACTTATTTACGTTAAAGTACAGTTAGGTATCAAACAGGACTTCGAGATCAGTAATTAAAGCAAATTTTTCTAAATACACATGTATTGTGCATTTTATGGCATATATTAAACGCTTTGGTTCGTTAAAAGGCGTACATTTGTTATTATTTAGGGACATTAGCACCATTTCTAAAAGTTGCCTAAAGTCATTTTGTAATCATATATCATGCGCAGTTTATTGACAGATTTGATCCAAGCAAAGCATACACAATTTCTTGTTCTATTACATCATTTAGATGTGTATCATCTAAAGGTATTCCTCAGAGATGAAAACGAAAAGAAAGGCTATAAATCGATTTAACTTATTCGATTTGTATTATTATTATTCATTATTTATATTTTCATCGTTCCGTTTATATATCATATGTTGTTTAAAATCCTAACGCCAAAAGAATTGAAGCAAAAAACAAACAAAAACGCTGAAATCTAGCTCATTGTTGGCCTTTCTTATGTTATGCATATTTTTAAGAATTCTTTATTTACTCTTCTTCTTCTTCTTCTTCCAAAGATATCCTTTTATACCCTCTATATTCATTTAACATTTTTTTTTAAAAAGATAAATTCAAAAACATTTACATGAAAAATGCGTATACTTACGAAATCAAATATCGTTATCAAGCTCAAGTTGTGGCTACTAACTGAATCGTCTCAAATTGAATATTTTTTGTCTTCTTTTTGTCTTCTTTTTTTTTTATAATTTTCTTTATATAAATTGTAAGCTGAAAATATAATAGTTTGCACATATGTGCAAATATGTTTTTATGCACACATACCGTAACTTATTTACATTTACTAAAATTCCCTTAGACGGCTTTTGTTATAGGATAATTATCTATATTGATAGGAAAACCAGCGACTCACACATTCGCGGTTTCTCTCGCTATTCTATGTTAGGTTAGATAGGGGAAGAGATTTTCGACTTCAGCATTCTTTGTGTTTTAATTTCTTTGATGTAGCCATTGCCAAAAGAAAGCCAATAAAATATCCTGATGAAAAGTAATTTTATTGTTCTGCAAATTTTATTTTTTCTCACGGACTCATTTATCCTGGTCCAAAAAGTTGAAAATCTTACCGATTTATTAGTAATCCATCAATGAATTGCTTTGTGCATATCAGAAAACTTTTGACATCGCGTTTTTACACGACATTGACCCCTTCGGGTAGGTAGAAGTTAAAGTGCCGCGCTTAGTCCATTTTACAACTTGTGTCAGTACAGTTGCCAATCGATGGTCCTAACTATTCTTTTTAAAGAATTGCTCAACAATAGTCAACAGCTATCTCATAAACAAAATATTGTTAAAGATTTCCTTTGATCGCCCATGGGAGATGCCTGCGACTTCCTTAAAACTATATTAGTCTTCCATTATCATAAGCTATAACTCAATAATGATTTCGTCATTACTGAACCTGTGCGGACGTCCAGGATTCATTTGATCTAAAGTGCTTGTGCGACCACGTTCCGGTTTATTTTTAAGTGCAGTATGCGAAACTACATCGTCCCTAAATACTTTCATCATCTGCTCATAAAATATCTGCTTACATAAACATATTCTTATACATGTTAAGTCATTTTACCTTTTACTAGTTTTTCATTAAGAAAAAAAAGCGAAACTGAACAATGCCAATTATACAATAATATGTAACTATTCTTACAAATTTCAATTAGGTATCAGGTCGAAAATATATTTACTGACCTAATATACATCAAATTTGTACGACTCACTGGCGACTCGACCAAATTTGCCGAGAATCTTAAGTTTACGCTTATTTAATATCATATTTCTATTATAATTAATTAAATTAATGTAATATTCCTGCTTATACAAAACTCACCTATATGTGTAAGTAACGTTATATTTACAATACGTGCATCATATACCTGCTACTTGTGTAATCAACATATCATTTTGCAAGGTCATGACAATACAATACAATAAATGGAAATAATCATACAATATGGTACAGGATGTCTGCGTCCTTTGTCATTGTATTGAATTTCTGAATTACTCTTTTTCTGCGCGATTCTGATTGAAGCCTTTAAAGTCGCAAAAGTCGCATTAAAGTATTAAATCTTAGAACATATGGCCCTAGTTGTTTTCAGTGGCAAAGCTCGTAACACATAAACAACCGCAAATAACTCATAAATGATGAGATAATTTATATATGAAAACTGCAAAAAAAAGACCATAACCTAAGCAAACAATATGTTTCTATCGTGGATATCTATACTTGCATCCAGAACAGCTGAATTAATAAATTTAAAGAAAAGAGTTGCCTTAAAACTCTAGTTAATAGAGCAAGTCGAATAAAATTCTAACGCAAAATGTTCGAAAAAAGTAGAAGAAGATCGTTCAAAGTTGAAATCCTGCCCGACTAATGGCTTTGCTTTGAAAATAAATTGAACAAGTTGATATGTAAGCGTAAAATATCTCAACATATGATACATCAAGGGAAAATAATAACAAACTAGACTGAATCTGCAAAATAATGTAAATCAGCAGCAGAGTGCACGTTAACTTGACAGATATAGCTGCAGTCTCATTCCAAGAGTCAAGAATCTATAATAAGTTTTTGTTAAATCGTCATAAGTCTTCACTAATTGGGTAAAGTGTCAATTCAATTCAAATCAATTTAACACTTTTGAAAGCTTCTTCTCTCATCGTATATGGATATTCGTCGTATACTGGAATGAATTCCCACCTTCAAGTATATATAATATTATATAACATAGAGCACGATTAACGTTTTAAACCTTGGTACTAATTCACGTGCTCGTCCGGAAGTTTAGGGTTTTTGACTATAACTTTGCTTAGAACAATTAGTTTTTTTTTTTTTGGAAATTGTGTTTCAACGAAAAAATGAAGTTAAGTCGTGCGATGAATGCGAATAGCCTTTGACAAGAGTGCACCGATCAACTTATTTCCAGTTGTAGCAATGAAACCCCATCCTTAGTTACGATGACGTCCTGATATATTAAGTTTAAACGTGACTGCTGTTCGCTCACCGACGAAAGCCGTGAAGGTCGCCGAAAAAGCAGTTGTTGCGCTAGAAAACATTGATGTTGTATAAAAATAGTTAAGTAAGATCCATATGTGACATACTGTGATATTCAGGCATTGGTTTTACCCGCATATAGAAACTATTACAAGATTATTTAACCATTGAAAATTTAGTAAAATTAAAAGATCGTAATATGTGAGGAACCATGGATACCTGCACATGAGCCATAA